CTTGGAGCTGGCCCAGCTTAGATGATTTTTAATGACTGGCTGGCTGGGTTGAGCATGCTAGGCATCTTAATTGCTAACCTTGTTGCGGTGGCAGCACTAATGGCATTGTGCTAGTACTTCCCAGGCTCTGTGACCCCTCTGCCTTCATGAACCTGCAAACTGTTCTGTTGACTCTTCTTTAGGTACTTCAGGGTTATAGAGAAATAGTCATATTTGTCTTATTAATAGATGCTTAATGTCAGAGAGGGAGGCTTGCCAGTAGTAACAAGGCCAAGTGCTTTGATAAGTTTTAAGTGTTGGGTTTAGAGGGAGTGCTTGTCTCCCTCCATACAAACAATAGGCTTTGAAGTTAGGAAATTGTGAGATCATTAAGAGACCATTCAAAGCGTTTTTTCTTTACATTTTTGCTATTAGGGTCATACCCTGGCTAGAGAGAGATCAAGAGGTGGGACCAGCAGATGGCATAATGGTTATGTCACTGGACTTCCATGTGGCCAACTGAACTGTGATTTGAGTCCTGGACCCAGTGGCTTCAAACACGCCAGGTGCATATGCATGCATGCGCAAAATCCTGAGAGGATAATGAAGAAGGGATCGTGGTGTGGCCATCCCCCTGGGGGGTGATTTCTTGCTTTCTGTCTCTCTGGTGAGCATACATGCCCTATGGCAACAATCTCTCTTAGAAAAAAATTTTTTTAAAAAAGAGAAAGTGAGAGAGCACCCCACAGGAGTGATGGCCATGTGGCAGTCCTTTCTCCTCCCAGGATCTTGGGCATGAATGCATACACCTGATGTGGTTTTCAAGCCTCTGGATCCAGGACTCAGACAATGAAGTTGCCATGTGAGACCCAGCGGCCTTAACCTCCATGTCATCTGCGGGCCCAGGAGCATTCAAAGTTTTTAATGGAGAAATGGCATAATAAGAACTCAAGGAAGACTAATAATTGAGAATAGCCTAACTTGGACAAGGAACACTTTGAGAAAGGAAAACCAGTTTGGGCACTGGTCTTGACAGGCACTGTGCTGCCATGAGGTTTGTGTGGGATGGAGCAGAGAGAGAAGCTATGAGAAAAAATAGTTCATGGAAAAGTGGAATTAGGTCTGGCCCCATAGCCTCATGATTAAAAGAGCTGCATTCCACATGGCAGTTCAAGTCCTGGCACCAGTAGCCTGAGAAACTTGCTAGGTATGTGGACGTGCCTGCCCAGCTCCTGACAGGGCGGAGGAGTGAGGAGAAGGGACTGTGGCGTGACTGCCATATTGGGATGCACTTTTTCCCTCCCCCTCCCTCTTTGTCTCTCTGGTGAGTGCACACACCCTCTGGCAGTTTTTTAAAAAGTGGAATTAAAGTACAAATTTTAGTTTTGAAATCTTATTTTTATAGATTTTTTTTGAAGATGCTTTGTATGGAAGATTCCCTCAGAGGTATGGAATTGGCTAGAAGTTGGGATAGATTCTAGTGGTCTTCAAGGCATACTTAGAAGATGGGACCAGTGACGCGTTTATAATAGAAATAGATTGGGAATGAGAAGCTCTGTAGGGGAAATGATGAATAAAATCCTTAGGTTTGCAGTACCAGAAGGTCCTCCAGGTGGAAACAGCAAATACTGGAAAAGTGGGATAATACTCCTTAACCATCTCCTATTACACCCTCTCTCATCAGGGTGGCCAAGGACAGAAGGTATGAGAGGGAAACAAAACTCACAGAAAAGTGAACTTTGGGCAAGCACACATGTGCCCAGCCAGATTTCTCAGGCCACGACTTGAACTGGGATCCAGTTCCTTTAACCACGAGGCTATGGTCCCAGACCAATACCAGTTTTCTGTGAACTTTTCCTTGTACCTCTGTAAAATTTTTATCCATGTGCTTTGTTTTGTGTTATTACAAGTGTGTAGTAGCATGAGGTGGTAAAAAGAACTCCCGATTAGGTGGCTTTCGTTTGTAGGTTGCAGATGTGGACAGACTCTGACTCTAGGTGAACCACACTTAGGGGCCTTGGCTAGTTTTAGGAAAGTGAATCAGGGAAAGCAAAAGCATAGGTCCATCCAGGGCTTTCCAGCACCCAATTCAGTAATCCTGACGTAGTGAGTTGGGTTTTATGTACAATAATTTCTGTATGAGAGTTTCAGAATTAAAGATTTCAAGTTTTATAATTGTTTTCTAGCTTTATTTAAAAATTACTTATTGAACACACTTCTAGATGCTTGGATGCAAACAGTTTAATATTTTTAAAAAGGTATTTTGATCTTATGCTCACATTCTTCCCCTCCATATACATGGCCACTTTGATACTGTAGTGGCTGGATGTCTGTGTGAATGGTAACCACATATCAGTTAGGTAGCTGCTGTGTGCAGAGGACTGTTAGAGATTTCATAGGTAAATGATATCCTAGTAGATTTTTTTGTTTTAAAAACTTAGAAATCCATATTTTTCATGGTAGTACAGGACTATAAAAATGACTGTGGAGAGCTGAGCACAGTGGTGCGTGCCTTTAGTTCTAGCTGTGTGGGAGGCTGAAGCAGGAGGATCATGAGTTCAAGGCTGCCTGGGCAATATAGGGAAACTTTTTTTTTTTTTTTTTTTAAATAAAGAAAAGACTGTACAGACCATGAATAATGGTCTTAAGGATCACTGGGGAAAATTACAGTTGTTCTGTGATTTAAATTTTTTTGGTCAAATAGAAATTTGTTGGTTTCCAGTATATAGGGCAACAAGAAAAGACAGTATAAGCAATAGTTATTTAGTATGCTACAACTTAAAAGCAGAAACATTAGTATTGAAATGTGCTTTCTTTGTAACCAACTTATCAAGACTGGTTTGAACTGTGCTTGCCACCTTCTGATGTAATTTATGACACTGAGCAAGCATCTTTTCTAGGCCTTAGCAAACTATCATACTTCTAAGTTTGTAGCAGCTTCCAGCATTACCCTTTGAGCGACATTAAAATCTCTGCAAGTTCCTTCGTTCGAAGTTGTCAGCATCACTTCCTCCAGACATGGCCATCCTTTTTGCCAGCACCCTTTTCTCCATTTGTGCTGTTACGTTGGCCTGCTCTGTGTTCCTGCCTGTGGGTCTAGAGGTGCTTGAGTGGTGGCAGTGGCAGCACCTCCTAGACAACTCTGTGCTCTTCAGATTTCAGTTCCAGCACGAACTGTAGCTAGAGTGTGTTTATTACACTTTCATCTTGGTGGCCAGGTCCCTATTTCGATTATTGATTTTTATTTAATGTCAGGTGGGTTTTATCACTGGGAGACAGGGAGGCACACTCTGCTATCTTTGTATAAAGTGAATAACAAATACCTACTGAGCAATTACTGACAGACTTTCAAGAAGTAATGTGATATGGTTGCCCACTGATCATGATTTGGGGGCTGAAGTTAGTGAAATTTATACCGTATTTATGCTATTACTCAGAGTCAATAGATATGTCATGGTAATTGAAATTTGAACCGTGTTGTTGAGGGACTGGTGTCATTTTGCTAAACCATGGTAACAAATCCATGTGTAATAGAATCATGCAAAGCAAGAGCTATCACAAATATTGCTGTTTTTGTTTTGTTTTTGTAGATAGAACAAAAACATTAAGGAAAGATAAATCCCATGGTACCAACTTGACTTTTACTACAAACATAATGTGGTCAGTTAACATATAAGGTAGAGCTCAGGAGCTGCCTGCTTGGTTCCAGAAGAAAATAGTTAAGCAAGAAATGTGTGTGTATTCTCTCAGTTATTCTATGAACTCACAAAGTTCTGAGGCAGTTCTCCTTTTTTTTGACAGATCAGAGTTACTTATTAGTGCTAAGTAATTTTTAAGTGCAGTGGAAAAGAGCTCAGGTTTGGGGGCCATACCACAAATGCATATTTAACCGCCCCCAGCCTTTAATTTTTCACATATAAATTTGAGATACAGCATCTTAAGAGTTCTTAGAAAGATTAAAGAAACTATTGCAATGTCTGGCAGGTATTATGTGTTAAATTATTTCTTTACATTTATTTCCCACAGTTTGGTGTTTATTTCATATTGTCCAATTTTATGCCAAGTGGTATAATTTTGGAATTAAAAAATCTATCATAATGTGATAGCATACAGTACAGATAATAAAAAATGTAACCTGTCAGCCACAAAAGTGGCTAATTTTAAAGTGCTAACTTAAGTAATTTTTTCTTGCAGTATCAATCATATTTCTCAGTAATTGATGTTTTTTATTTTAAGATAGAATTAGGTTTATTTTTAAAAGGATAGTTTAAAGGATATTTGTGTTTAGAATTTTGGACACAATTTTACTGATGACTTTCTCTGTCCTATTTATTTTCTGAAATGATTCTTAGCATAAGTATCTCATTTTACATGCCATACATTTTCTAAAAACCCTCACACACAGTCTTGCAGCTGTTGTTTGATAGGTTTCTTACCATTTCACATTACTGTCAACTGTTTATTTTTCATGATAATGAGGGTTTTAATAAAATGTGGTAGTTTGATAAGTTTCACTTTCAGATGCTTGTTTTTGGTAGTATTTTTTCAGTTACTCTGAGGTCACAGTCCAAGAACTAATTGACTCTTTTTGGTAATGTTGCAAGCAATTTAGAAAAACTGACATAAAAATTAGTGCTAAGCCTGGGATCCAGATAGTGGCACATCAGTAGAAGACGACACTCCATGAGGTAGTCCTGAATGGTAGCATTTCTGGTTCAAGTCTGGAGGCCTCCCTGAGTATGCCAGGCACGTGCTTGCCTATGATCGAGGGCTAGCTGAAGCTGGGACTGGGTTGTGGTGTTGGGACCATATTGGGGGTGCTCTCTTTCTCTCTCTCACTCTGTCTCTCTTGCTCCTGAAAGAAGTAACTACATTTTTTAAAAAGTTAATGATAAGCTATCTCTGAAAATGTATGCCCCTTCTGCCCTGTTTTTTCATGTAGTGAAACATTGTATGCAGCATGTGATGTTTATTAGGGCTTGATGTATGACTCAAATTTGTCCCTTTTTTCTCTCCTGTAGCAGCAGAAGAGAAGAAATCTCTGAAGCGAACTTTTCAGCAGATCCAGGAGGAGGAGGATGATGACTACCCTGGAAGCTACTCTCCCCAAGATCCTTCTGCAGGACCCCTGTTGGTATGTCTGGCTTGATCCCTAGAGAGTAGGGCAGAGACTCAAGTGACCTCTATTTGGAGATTGTGGCCACAAGGTGGCACCAGTGACCAATAGTATGAAATGACTGAAGGGATGCTGCAGGGGCACGGGTGCAAGAGCTCACCCAGTGAAGTTTGCCAGGCAGTATGCCATTTTTGTCTTTGCATGTATGACTCCGGGATGAAATACCTGGATTTGGCCTTTTCACTCCTTGAAATAAATATTAAAAAATAGATTTTTTGTGAAAAGAGTTGGTGATGTTATGTTTGAAAGACATTCAGAAGTCTGCCATGGCTTGTCTCCAATAGCATGGGTGTCTTATAAGTAAATAACTCATTAAAATTTAAGGATGGCCCCTGGATGACTAGCAAATTTGCTATTCTGTAGCCTATTAAAAAGAGGGAGTTAGTCTTTAACCATGTGTTTTGTATTGTTTAGCTCTTTACACAGTTAGCTCATGAACTCTGTGTTGGTTCATTTTGTCTGTAACCAAAGAAAATGAGTCTTGGTGGGACAGATTTAAGCAACTCTACCAGATCTCCATTTGATTCAGGTCTCTCTGACTTTGGAGCACATGCTTTTTTCACTGGGTCACTCTGCCCCTTTTATTTTGCCTAAAACTGCTTTACTTTATAACATGTGGGTATGTTTAAAGCCTGTGTAAATGGGAGGATGTCTTTTTTTTTTTTTTGGAGAGCTTTTGGCTACAGGGCGGTGTGCGCTCTCCAGAGACAGAGAGAGACAGAAAGACAGAAAGCGAGAAATCACCACCTGGGGGGATGGCCATGCTGCAATTCCTTCTGCTCCATTCTCCTTTTGGGATCTTGGGCACGCATGCGCACACACCTGGCATGAGTTTAAGCCACTGGGTCTGGGACTCGAACTGCGGTTGACTACATGGGAGTTCAGCAGCATAGCCGTTATGCTTACTGCTGGTCCTAAGATGTCTTGTTTGTGTTATGTTACGTTAAATTAGACTGGGAGTTAATGTTAGATCATATATCTTTGCATTTCAGAATTTTAAAAGAAGACAGCCCAGATGGTCAACATTTAGGACAGTCTTAACTGTCATTTACAGAGTCAGCTGCTTATCGTTATTCACTAGATAACCTGTCAGCAGTCTGTTTTCTGACAATTTAATAATCCCCTTTTTGATAGACATAGAATATGCATTCCTGGTTTGCTTAAGTTGTTCAAAACATGCTTTTAAAGAATTTTTTTAGGGACCAGCAGTTAGTGTCATGGCTATGTTGCAGGACTCCCATGTAGTCGACCACAGTTCTAGTTCTGAACCCAGTGGCTTAAACTCAAACACTGGGTGTGTGTGTGTGTGTGTGTGCGTGCCCAAGATCCCGAAAGGAGAATGGAAGAGAGGGGATTGTGGCGTGTCCATCCCCACTGAGGGGTGATTTCTCGCTTTCTGTCTACCTCTGTCTTTGTGGCAAGTACACATGCCCTATAGCAAAAACCTTTTCAAAAAAAAAAAAAGAAAAGCATGCTGCAGAATCTCATTTATGTTCTGCCATGGACATGATTCTCTTTGTAAGCTCTGAAACTTCTCTTTTCTTTTTTTTTTAAAAAAAAAAAGTGGTGGGAATAACCACTCTTAGAATTTGCCCCCACCTCATTAACTATCAACCAATTTTCTTTTTTTTTTTTTCTTTTGAGAAGTTTTTTCTATAGGGTGCGTGTGCTCTCCAGACAGACAGAGAGAGACAGAGAGACAGAAAGCAAGAAATCACCCCGCAGGGGGAATGGCCAGGCCGCAGTCCCTTCTCCTCCGTTCTCCTCTTGAGATCTTGGGCACGCATGCACACATGCCTGGCGTGAGTTTTAAGCCACCAAGTCTGGGGGACGCGAACCACGGTCAACTACATGGGAGTTCAGTGACATAGCCATTATGCTAATTGCTGGTCCCGTCAACCAATTTTCTTTAAGCGCTGTACTTTTTTTTTTTTTGGAGAGGTTTTTGCTATAGGGCACGTGCGCTCGCCAGACAGAGAGAGACATAGAGACAGAAAGTGAAAAATCACCCCCCAGGGGGGATGGTCATGCCACAATCCCTTCTCCTCCATTCTCCTCTCGGGATCTTGGGCACACACGCACACGCACCTGGCGTGAGTTTTAAGCCACCCGGTCTGGGATGCGAACCGCGGTGGACTATATGGGAGTCCAGCGACATAGCCATTACGCTAACTGCTGGTCCCCAAGCGCTGTACATCTTAATGGATAGTGTCGTTTGTGTTTTTGTTTCAGACTGAGGAACTAATCAAAGCTTTACAGGATCTGGAGAACGCTGCATCAGGGGACGCTACCGTTCGACAGAAAATTGCTTCTCTGCCCCAGGAAGTGCAAGATGTTTCTTTATTGGAAAAAATAACAGGTGAGAAGGTAAAGTTAGGTGAAAGACACAGAAAGAAGGACATCTATAGTGCATCAAGCCCTAGCACATGCTTATGTTAACCTCAGGTATGCATTTCACATGTTGTGTTGGGTGCTCTGCCATCTTGGGACCTATAAATACAACTCACATGCTGAACACACAAGCTCTTAGAATAGTCAGAGCTTGAATAGGTAGTGATTCTAGGAATTATTGTAGAAATGCTAGCATGCCCCAACATGTGGCTCTAAATAAGGTCTATTGAAAGAACAGTAGAAATTGTTTGTAATGGGACTGGTGGGAGTTAGGGGGGTAGGCATTAAACTCATGACCCTTTTACTAAAAACAAATTTATGATTAAGCAGTGTGATTTACACACTGCACACTGACAGATCCTGTAGATGATAATGCCTTCAGTGCCAAGAATTCCAGGTGTGTGGTGTGTGTTGTTTTGCCCTAATGGTGACCACCCAAATTAAACAGGGAGTGGCAGCTGACATTATTCTTGCTTTCTGCATGGGAAATTGAGAGGAAGGAGTGAAGCATGAGCTAATCTTTATAGAGGATGCTCTGTGCCAGGTACTTCTCACTCTTTTATGAGAATCCGTGACAATTGCTGAATGTGTATTCCTATATTGTACAGAAGGAAATTTAGGTTTTGAGAGGTTAGTTGTCTTGCCCAGGGTCACACAAATAGTAGATCTTTGGATCCCAAGCTAGTCTGCAAAGCTTATATTCTTTCCATTACAAGAGCTTACACCTTTAATTTTCCTCTTCTGAAGACCACCGTTTTCCCCCTCTTGACCCTTGAGTTGGCAGCTTCCCTAATTTTGTCCATATCCATCTAAACAAAATCAAGGTCATTCCTGAAGTATTCTCATTCAGTAGATACTTGAGGCCCACTATGTAGTACATACACTTGGTGTCTCACTCATATCCCCTCAGGGGTTAAGTGCCATGAAGAAAAATGAAGCAGGAGTGTAGGAGCAGAGAAGATTGAGAGAGATGCTTTTTAAAGGTGGTCAGGAAAGGCCTCTCTGATGAGATGAGACCTCCCCTCACCCCAAATTAGGAAGCCTGCCATGAACATATCTGAGGAAGGAAGTGCCACGAGGCAGAGAGGATAGCACGGGGGAGGACTTTGAGACAGGAATGTGCTTATTGGAGAACACAGCATGAAGTCTTCTAAGTCAAACCAGAAGCATTTGGCTCTCCCACTCTGCTCCCCACTCCCAATAGTGCACCACTGGAACCTGCAGTCTCTGACCGTACCTCTTCCTAGCCCTCAAGTCCTCATTTCTTCTGTACTCAGCTTCGGGTCTTCACTATACTCCCTTATGTGTACCTCCAGCCCCTTATCTTCTCTTTCTCTCTTTACTATACTGTCCTGGCAAAATCCCTGAACTGGTTAAGTCCAAATATTTATATATTTATTTTTAGTATACTAGAGGGCATGTGCACTTACTAGCGAGAGAGAAAATACACTCCCATGATAGAAGGTCCTGCCATAATCCCCTCTTCTCTATATGTCTCCCCCTTTGGGATTTTGTGCACAGCGTGTGTTTGAAGCCTCCAGGTCCAGGATTCGAAACACATAGTCGGTCATGTGGGATTCAACCACCCTAACTACCATACCACTGGCTGGCCTTAAGTCCAATTTTAAAAAGTTATTATTAATTTATAAATTATTACTAACTTTTTCCTTATATCAAAATCAAGGTTTGTAAAGATTAAAAGCACATTAATATAAAGCTAGCAATATATGCCTTTTTATTTATTTGGTTTTTGTTTTTACTGACCTACAGATCTCATAAAGCTTCTTTTGAAAGTATTTTGGCAAAATACACATAACATAATGTTGTACAGTTTAATAGTGTGAAGTACTTTCACATTGTTGTACATCCAGTTCTTGGAATTCTTTTCATCTTGAGAATTTGAAACCACATACCTGTTTAACAGTAACTCCTTATTTTCTACCCCCTGCCTGCCGCCACGTCCCTGACAACCACCATCCTTAAATGCAATGACTGATAACTGATTGGTTAACATCAGATTACTTAGTACTGCTTTTCTTTTAAGAGAGCATTTTACCTTATCCAACTCTTTAAGGAGGGCCAGGAAGAACTGGGCCTCCCATGTCACTTCAGCCTGTGGAGTAGCATCAGCCAGCATGCTGTAGGGGCTAGACCTGGGCTACTTTTTACTGTAAGAATTAAAGGCAGAGGAACCTGATTGTCATGGCAATTGCAGCTGACCTGTTCAGTATAGTAGGCTATTCTCTTTTTCTTGATTTTTTTTTTGGAATGTCAGAGAACAACTAGTTTCTATTACTGGAACTGTAATGTGAGTGACTCCATTTTGGTTTTTAGTCTGGTCTTTTGGGGTTAATGCAGGAACACTTAGTCCAAAAAAATAGCCTTCTGTAATTTTTATTAACACCTCTTCCTGCCTTCTTTCTCTTCTGATTCTAGTTTTATTAAAACTACTCTTGTCCAAGTTGTTGATGACTTTCTTGTTGCTAAGTTGAATGGTAGAGTCTCTGCACTCAGTTTAAACTTGATCTCTATCATTTGGCTCAGTTGATTAATTTCCTCTTCCTAAAAACAGTTTGTTCACTTGGTATGGTAGGCAGGATAATAGCCTTCCCCAAATGCCCATATCCTAATCCTGAGCACCTGTGAATGTGACAGAATGAATTTTGTAGATGGGGAGATTATCCTGGGTTATCCAGGTGGGCCCAGTGTCATCCTAGAATCATTACAAGAGGTAGTCAGGTGGGTAAGAGTCAGACACGGCTGTATTTCTATAGAAGCAGAGGTTAGTGTGATATGCCTTGGAGATGGAGAAATCAACCACAATAGTAAGTAATAGTGATGTTTTAAGCCACTAAATTAGTGGTAGTTTGTGTCGGCCTAAAAAGAAGGCTGAGGCATAAAAAGTGAAAGTGATTTATTTGAGCTCAGGATTCAGAATGAGTTGCCCGTTGACATAGACCTCTGGGACCAGAAATGTGCTCCCTGACATGGCTTCTGAGAAGGCTGGTTTAAGTCCCCACAACCAGCACCTTGTTTTTACATTTCTACTGCATTGTTTTGTATAACTGAAAAAAAAAAATAATTATTTTTCCAGATTGTAATTTTTTGTATAAATGCATTATTTCTGGAGGGTGAAAATTGATTTTTTTTTTTTAATCTTAAATCTTAAAAATTAGTATTTTACCTGCCATTTTTTGCCATCAGCACCTAAACATCTTAATTAACCATCAAAAGCAAATAAAAAAAAATAGTCAAACAGTGACAAAGCTAAAACAACCTAACCATCTCATCAGTTTGTTCACAGATTGCACAACTAATCTAGAAGAATTTAAGTCCTTCGGTCCTCTTTACCTTCTGTGAGTGAGATTATTATCTCTTCATGCTCTGTTTTGCTCTTTCTCTTTCACCAAGAAGATGCTTTTGTTTTCTATCCCCAAGGAGGTAGAAGTACATGATCCTTGGAATCTCAGGAGTTCATCTCCCAATAGTCACATTAAGAAGGCATCAAAAAGCCAGGTGACTGCTTGCCAGAGACCGTTGGGCCTTTTTTTTTTTTGAATGTTGATTTGTTCATCTTTTTCATGTCAGAGAGAAAGAGCTAGAGATGCCTCCAACAGGGTCCTCATGTCAAGATCCACCCCTAGTCTGAGCTGGCCCATATCATGAGCACACACACATGACTGGTGTACCCAGGGAGGTCCTGGGTGGGGAATCCAGGACTCTTCCCATGTGGGTCCAGCTGAGTTCCCACTGCCCCGCCACCTGACCAGTGCTGGGAATTCTGAAATCCTAGTCACCCATGAGAATGCTGCAGTCTCTAACCCTCTGACAGCCCATATTCATATGGAGCAGCAGATCTAGATCACTGGGTTAGCTCACTTTTAGTTTGTTTATATAATTGCCGGGGTCTCTGGTGCTCTTTGTTTCAAATCCTAATCTCTGTTTTGGTCATTAAAGACCTTTTAAAAATGAGGTGCGTGTATTTCAGAGTTTTAATCTCACCACCACCCACACAACACACAGTTATGTCAGTTCTTTTTTATTTCATATTTTTGTTTGTTTTTTGTTATAGAGTGTATGCACTCACCAGAGAGAGACAGGGAAAGGAGAAAACACTCTTCTGTGGGGAATGGTCACATCATAATCCCTTCTCCCTTTGCAGGATTTTGGGCATGCATGTACATGCACCCAGCATGTTTCTTGAGCTGCTGAGTCTGGCACTTGAACCACACAGTCAGCCATGTGGGATCCAGCTGCCTTAACTATCAGGCCATGGAGCAGGCTCATGTCATTTCTTTTCTTTTGTAAGAGAGATTTTTGCTATAGGGCATGGTACGATTGCCGGTGACACAGAGAGAAAGAAAGTGAGAAACCTCTTCCAGGGAGGATGACCATGCCACAGTCTCTTCTCTTCCATTCTCCTCTCGGGATTTTGGGCACACGCGCACATGCACATGCTCACACATGCACCCAGCATGAGTTTTGAGCCTCCAGGTCCAAGACTCGAACTGCAGTTGGCCATGTGGGAGTCCATCACCTTAACTGACACCACCTGCTGGCCCAATGTCATTTCTTTATAAAGACAAATCTGCCTTTTGTTTCTTCCTTTCACTCATATTGAGCAGTTGTTCACCATCTCTTTGCAAGAATAGCCTTTCTTACACTTCACGGTTTTTTTTTTGTTTGGTTTTCCCCAAAAGCATGAGTTGCAGCTCATTATTCAGACATGAAATCGGTCTGATAGATAATGACCAACATTCTTTCTAAAAATGGAATAGAAGATAGAACACTTTGTACATAGTAAGGATAAGTATTTTTTCATGAAGCTTTGGTCGCTTTTGTTTTTATGTAAAGTATGTCTTTGTTATGGGTTATATTTAACATTTGAAAGCCTCTGTTCCTTACCATATCCTATATTTTGGTGAAAGCAGGGAGAGAGCTCATCCTTTAACAGGTAGAGGCATACAGATCCTATCTAGAGACCAGGCTCCGGATTCCAACTCCTCGGCTGACTGCATATAGAACCTGCCGTGTAACTTTTTTATATCTTTGTTTCCACACCCAAGAAGTGAGTGTTTGCTTTTTTTTTTATTTCAGACAGATGTAAAGAGTACACTAAACAATTTAATATACATGAAACCCCTTGAAATTCTCAGAGGCAAGGAATAATTATTTTACACGTGACTTTAAATATTTCTTTCTGCTTATTTTGTTTGTAGATTTAGCAGGCATAGATGTTTAGAAACTCTTTGCCAGGTTCCTCTCCCTGTAAGTTGCCTCACTTCAGGTAATTCAGCAATGTCCTGCCTCGTTGACAGAGTGAGTGCCTTTAGATTTCTTGGTCAGCCAATTCATGTTTCTCCTCCAACAGCCTGTGTCCATAGGGAGCAGCAGATTCCGGCTTATGCTTAGATTCTGTACAATGAGAGAGAATCTCAACCTCCCCAGAAATGTTTGCAATCATACCTATGTGATTTGTATATTGTCTCTATTTTTTGGTCTCATTTATCCTTAGACAAAGAGGCAGCGGAACGTCTTTCAAAAACGGTAGACGAAGCATGTCTGTTACTAGCAGAATATAACGGGCGCCTGGCGGCAGAGCTAGAAGACCGGCGCCAGCTGGCTCGGATGTTGGTGGAGTACACCCAGAATCAGAAAGACGTTTTGTCAGAAAAGGAGAAAAAACTAGAAGTGAGTATTCTGCACCCAGACTGCCCAAGTTTCCCTTTCTGTAGCCTGTGTTAGGAGGTTTATAAAGTACTTTACTTAATAGGTTTTATCTTTTAAAAATGTATGAAATGGGAATATTCACTGGATATTATAATTATTTCAGCATAGTTAAAAATTGATGTCATGTTTTTATATGTCCAGGAAATAATAAATTGGATCATAGGAAACAAACAATGAACAGGTAATCATAGCATTTAGGATCTTATTACTATTGTTCTCATATATTTAAAAAAATCTTAAATTGAAGTACAAAAAGAACAGAACATAAAGTGAGTAAAACCAAAGATCGTGTGTTTGGTAGTATTTGGGAAATGCTTACAAACAACTTTTGAGTTGTGTTGAAGTTTCTTTCTGACAGGTGTCCGTGTGCTAAGGTAAGAGCAAGCTCTGTCTAGAGTCAGTTCTAAAATTTCACAGTAATGGTTATGGAGCCATTTGTCAGGCTGTTGAGAAGAAAGTCATTTCCACCCTGAGTTGAGGACATCAGTCTCAGTGGCCTTGGGGAAGGAGTTCATGTCCTCATCATACGCTCGTTTGGCTTCTTAATTAAGTACACGGTGGTTTAACTCAGCGCTTAGTCCCCTGGGATGGCAGAGTCAGCAATGTGGACACTTGGGGCATGTTGCTTGCCCCAAGCTGCTAGGCTTCCTATCAGGAATGTCTGTTCTCTTTGTGCAAGATGCCTGGAAAAAGCTGCAGCCAGTAGTTTTGTGACAGCAGGATAGTTGTGAGTTGGAGAACAAGTCACATTATATTATAAAAATTTTCTCTTAAATTCCACTCAAAGTAGAGGGGAGGGGAAGAGCCACCTTACCCCGCACCCAGGAAATCCGTTCTCTCGCACAGAGAGAGGGAACATTGAGCTCGGTCTGTGGCTGAGGTTATCTGCCTTTCAGCACAGTCGTCTGACCTTTGAGGGGAAATGAGGAAGAGGCACTTTTTACTGTGTTCTTCACCTGCAGTGATTATGAGAACTGTGATGGATAGTGGTAGTAGGAGCCTCATATTCCTAGCCAGCTTTGACGTGGAAGTTGGGAAGCAGCTGTAAATATACTATGGCTTAGAGTTAGAAGTGGACACTGACCAGAAATCCTAAAGGGAGTTTCACAGGCTCTTCCAGACGGTCATTTATCTGAAATGCTCATCTTTCACTGAGGAAGCATTTTCAGCACTGTGCCCCGGGACTAATAAGAGAGTGTAATTAATGATTCTGGTTGTAAGTCACCATGCCATCTGTTGGACTGCCCCTTGGCGACACATTAAGGGCTTTCTCTGATCTGTCAGACATTGATTATCATGAGCAGCTGTTGTTGGGTGGAACGTGGCAAGCTACCATAGAGGACAGAGTCTTTGAGAAGGAGATTGGGTTGGTAGAGCTGGTTAACTCTTTGTTTGGTTTCCCCTCCCCATAGTTGCACTTTCCTCTGGATGTATGTTTCTTGGGAAGGCATCCTGGTTGTTGTAGTACCAGAGGTCATTAAGGCAGAGAAACAGGTCAGGGATTTGGGTCTGTTCTGTGGCTTTCCCGTCCACATTCCTGTCCTCATGTCATTCATTGGACTGGTGTTGACATTCCATTGCCTAAGAAGCAGAACAAGAAGCCCCTTCCTCCCAATGGAAAGTACAGAGTCTAAAGTAAAGATTTTTTTTTTTTTCTGAGAGGTTTTTGCTATAGGGCGCGTGCGCTCGCCAGACAGACAGAGAGAGACATAGAGACAGAAAGCGAGAAATCACCCCCCAGGGGGGATGGTTACGCCGCAATCCCTTCTCTTCCACTCTCCTTTTGGGATCTTGGGCACGCACGCACATGCGCCTGGCGTGAGTTTTAAGCCACCGGGACATGAACCGCGGTCGACTACGTGGGAGTCCAGCTACATTAGCCATTAGGCTAACTGCTGGTTCCCTAAAGTAAAGATTCTTATCCCAAACCTTGTCTCCCAGTCACTTGAGCAGATCTATCATTGTAAAAATAGAGCTAAATTTGCCGCATTATAAAAGCAAACGACTAGCTACAACATAGGATATTGAGAGATGGCTTTAGTTCTTTCTTTATGCATGCTTGCTTTAAAATGTGAATAGTCTGCTCTCCAAAATCTAAATGGGGTTTTTATTTTGCACCCTTTAGTTGATTGATCTTATTTCATTCTGTTCTAATGATAAAATTTGGTATGTGCCAATTGAAAGATACATTAATACTGTGAATTCCCACAAATCCTCCAAAAGTTGGAGGTAGTACATAAGGTATACCTATCTTTGTAACATTATTTAGATCGATTGATTGATTGACTGATTGCCAGAGGGCACTTGCTCTCACCAGAGAGAGAGAGAAAGCACCCCACAAGGTCTCTTCTCCATTTCTCCAACCTGTCAGGATTTGGGGCATGTATGCACACATACCTGGCATGTTTCTCTAGCCATTCGGGCTGGGATGCAAACCACAGTCAGCCATGTGGGATCTGGCTCTCTTAACCATCACATTATGGGTCTGGCCCTGTAGCATTCATTTTTGTGACACAGCCGGTCCTCGTTTTAAAATCGCCAAATCAGAATGTTAGTTTCTTTAATGTCATAATCCTTTCATTGCCTTCAGTGAAATAGATGGAATTCCTAGGACTCTGGAAATATGATTACTTGCTTGAGATTTTGTTTTCTTCCCAAAGTTTTAACACACTTAGATTTTTTTGTGTTTTCTTTTTTATGTTTATCTTTTCCTTTATATGATAAGTGTCTGTTTTCTTTCACTTGAGAATTTTATGTTAGATTTCTCAGTGGCTCCTAAACTTTGAGTTAGCAAGTGCCATGATTCAGAGCCTTGAATCTAGGAAGAAGGGGTATAGCTCATAGAAAAAGATTGTGTTTCTCTCCTTAAGGAAATCATTTTCTGGCATAAACAACATAGGTGAACATAAAACAAACAGACTAATTGTGCATAATGTGGATTAAGGAGCAGTTGGCAGTTCAGATTGTGGTTTAAGGTAAGTCCAGCTTCCTGTCAAGCAGTAAAGCCTTTCTGTAAAAGGAAATAGCAATTGAAGAAGATAAATAGTTTTTAAATGAGGAGCAGCAGACTGGACCAGACAGGTGTGTGAAGAAAGACAAAAAGACAGGGTGTGGAAAGGAGGGGCTGGAGACCTCCAGGGGGAAATAAGGGTTTATATTCTTTAAGGAACAGCTTGTCTGTGGAGTCAACAAACAGTGCTGATCAGATGTATCAACAAACAGTGCTGATCAGATGTATAGATACAAAGGAAGGTGTGTTTTCTCCATTCAAAGAGCTTACCCTCTATGCAAGCGATGTTACAAGTAAGGAAATATTCTGATCCTTGATCAGCTTGAAACAGACCAAGAAAACATTCAAAATGCTAATAACAACATATTGATTTGGTGGGCTGTTTATTAAAAATATAAGAGAATTAGCAAATGGTGAGGCTGGCTCTGACTACTGTCGGCTTTTAGCTGGTCTTGCGGAGTGTGCCAGTTCTCTGACTGCTCTCACAGTGCCTGGAACATACTTGTTCTATGAGTCACCACTTGAGTAATTTTTTTCTATATAAAAGTGTTTTTTTTGTTTTTCCTTTTAGATTGCAGTAAAGTGATTTAACAAATCCAATTTCATTTTTTGGTTGTAAGGTATATGTTAGTAAAGAAAGATGACTATTTCTTTCTATCAAGTTAAAAACTCTGTGGGTTTCTTTGTGCTACTTTTCTTTTTTTTCTTTAAGTAGGATCATGATTCATTTTGAGATGATAATTTTTTTAACCATTCACTTTTTAAAATTTTAATTTATTTATTTACATTCATTTACTATACATTGTTATAGCATACAAAATGAGATTTCCCATCCAGAAAACACTATATACTGGCTCAATCAAGCACATCAACATACATGTTACCATCAACAAATAATTTTCCATTTCTTGTTTCCTGTATATTAACCATTCACTTTTGTTTCTCAGTATCATGATTGACATTGACCTACCACCTGTTCTGTAAACTCCAGGCAAGGTTAGAAGGACAGATACTGAAAACCTATCCATAATGCTTTTGTCCTGAACATGGGAAACCTAGAAATTAAAAATAAGGCATGTGGAAAAAGCACAAATATCAGTTCAGGAGCAAGGTTAATAGGGAGGGGAAGGTTGTAGAGTAAGAAATTCCAAAAGGTAGGGGCCAGAAAGGCCCTCAGGCTCCTTAAAGCATGATTTTTCAAGATGGATCTGGGCTCCAAACCGCACAATTGGCCACATGGGATCCAGCTGCTATAACCTCTTCACCATTTGCTGACCTTCCAAGGAACCTTTCCAAAAAAGCTTCCTGTTTTTCAAAGTTATGTGTTTCTTTTATGAGCCCCAGATAGAGAAATACCCTCAACAGGGTCTCACACCACAGTGCTCCTGCTTCCAAGCCAACCAGGATTACAGCCACGCCTATGTGCCTGACCTGTGTAGGTTGGCTCAGAAGCTCAGAAACCAGACCCTGGTCCTCCATGTGGCTTCATAGAGTGGTGTGCTAGTAGTGTTGGGCCTCTACTCTCCAAGAAATCTTCGCTAGGGAGAAAGGATGCACTCTACCATTGAGGGTACTTCCTCACGTACCTAGGTACATGTTCTTGCTCTGATAGGAGGGGAGAAATTGGCTCAGTGAATTTAGAGCTGTTGCTGTTTCTCCCTAGCTTGGGATTTCTCTCTTGCCTGTAATGTATACTTGGGAGTAGAGCCTTTGACTTCAGACAACACAGCTGGGAAGAAGGGAGAATGATCCAGAATCCAAAATTTGTCTAATGACTTCATATTTCTGTTTGCATTGTGGTTATAACAACTTGACAAATTCTTTGGCTGAAGCTTAGGGGGCACTAAACGAAAATGGTGGCCCTCTGTTGTTTTTGGCAGCATCTTCCAGCCTCCCTGCAGGGTGCAGATGGTTAGAATATTTGTTTCAGTAATGTGGCAGGCAGTAGGTG